GTGGACGTCACAAGACATTATACAGACAGGCTCTGGTATCATGGCTACCTGACAACGGAGCTCAAAAGTGTGGGATCATTTTAAGACTGCTTACCTTGTACAACTGATCAAAAGTGAGGCAGCGGTTGACCTCAGGCCGYATGGTCCAGTAAGAAACTTTCCCATTGGGTGACGTCTCGCGGATGAACATGTCGTGTAGGGAGAGGTTGTGGCGGATGGAATTCTGCAAACGAGCAAAAACTTGTTCGGTCATTCGCTGCGACYCAACGAGCTCACGGTCCATCGTGTTGCGCGAGTTCCCGAGTCACCTTCCACCCTGGTTTGGCCACCTCTCGGTAATAAGGAAAATGATTCTCGATCCACATGTAGATTTCTTTCAGCGTCATCCTCCTCCTCGCATTGCTGTTGATGGCAAACTGGATCATGGCCATGTAGGAGTACGGAGGCCTCTCTGCCGCCGGCTGACGGGCGCTTTCGACATTAGATGTGGCACATTCCTGTAAAAACACACAAGGAGAAAAAAACGTGTTTGAGTTGTGACAGCTATTTATGGAAACTAAAGACATCCTATTGTTCTTTTTTAATCATTTCATCTGTTTTAATAATACCTGCTAACAGGTTTAAATACAAAATTCTCTAATGGGGGAAAAATGCAGTCAAATGTAATCTGATTACAGAACATGACAATGTGTTGCTATGACATAATTAAAGGGGACCTATTATGCAAAATTCACTTTTTAAAGTTTTTTTTTACTCAACTTTGTGTATGTACTTCTTCAAAAAAACAGTCCTAGGACCAAAAAAATGCACCCAGGTGCATATTTACTGCAAGTAAATGTATTTTTATGTATATTAACGACAAGTTTTATACTTCCGTCATTTTGTGATGTCATAAGCCGTACGACAACCCACCGGAACCTGCGTTCAGCCGCTTACCTAGCAACCCCCGGGTGAAGCTCCACCTCCTCAGTATAAAAAGCCGTCACAGTTGTTGTTGTGCAATGTGCAAATCTTTTCTCAACAAGCCTCTAATAGGGTAATGGGTAGAGTGTTGGACCAGAGAGCGGGCAACTAGGGTTCAAGAACGGCATGGACACAATTTAATGTTTTATTTTCGTTCGTTATGAACACGTTTTCTCATGTACCTCTATTGTTTAGCTCATTAAAGCCTTGTTAAAGCCTATTTGTTTGAGTTTCTGAGGTATTTTGACCACTGCTGCTCCCTGCTCTGGTAACAGCATGCAGAGTGAGCGCAGAGCAGAGGAGGGGGAGGAAAAAAAAGAAACTGTGACCACGACTCTGCCTCTGGGTCTCACTCAGGATATACAGTTACAACGGAGCTTCTGSTATTATTAGCCATGCTAACGTAAACGCTGGCTTTGGAGGGCGGAGTTAATGTCAACAGATTTTTGGAGGGCGTTACCAACAGAGCTCATTAACATAAACAGCTCTTCTGAACAGAAATCAGAGCAGGCAGAACTAGAAAATGAGAAATTTTATTATCTGAGAATTATTTTGTGCATTAAATTGAATGAACATGGTCTGGATAGCCCACAGACATACCATAAAAATGTCTAGGACCCATAATTGGCCTCCTTTAAGACCAAGATTCTTATTACATGAGTATTTGTGAAAAAAAAAGGAAACAAGACCTGTCCTGTTTGATTCTGGGATGTTGGAATCTGGTTCTCCTTGTTCTGCTTTACAGCATCCTGCTCCAAGGTACATGAGCTCATTTTGCCGAGCCACTGAATGTTGGTGAGGCTGTCATCTAAAGGCTGACGACTTGCATCTTTATTCGCTGGTGAGGAAAAGCAAAAAAACACACACACACAAAAAAAAAAAACACCAAATTTAAAATCAATTTAAAATCAAAACACAGACAATTGCAGATGTTACTGGTAAACGTGACATACCAGTTGCAGAGACAGGTTTGGCGTCAGCAGAGCCGAGGCTTTCTGCATTCGCTGGTTGTCCAGCTGGTTCTTCTTTCACAGACGCTTGACAAAGAGATGCGTTATCCTGGCTCTCGCTCAGAAGAATAAACTTGTTCGGGCCCTGGATGCCACACTCTTTACCTTTAGCACTGAGGGCTCCGATTACACTTTGAAGATCTGCCTGTTTGGGAACGACGACCACCTGGGTACCGGCCATGGAAGGGTGATCCATGACGCGGACACCATCAGAGAAGCACTGACCAGCGGCTGGTTTGCACGTTCCTTTGGAGCCATCGGACTGGGCGTGTGCTGGTTCTGGTTCATTTTGCTGAAAAGGAAGTTTTCTTCTTTTTAGGATCAGGGGTCTCCTTGGACTCCGTCTCATGGTCAGATCACTGAGATGCCCATGGAAGTTCACTGGTGTGCTGTGTAGAAGTGACACAAACAATAATAACCAATGTAATCCAAACAAACATTGCTTAACATTTTAGACAATAAACCACGTTTTAATGTTACCTTGCGTGTAGCATTGCAGCAATCCGATCTAACTATAACTACCGGCAAATTAACGTTTAGCTACGACGGTAAATAAACAAAGAAAGAAACGCGAAGCAGTGCTGGATATAAATAGTTTCCTGTTGATCMATTTCCGACACAAAGAAAACTAAATCGCAAACAAAAACACTCTCCTAAAACGGACTAAATTAAGTGTTTCTTTTAGGTAAAATGTATCTGCTCACGATGTGTCCGTTTCCTGGCAATATGCACATTCTAAGTTTCAGTTTTTGTAACGTTAATCAAGAAACTATTATTTATTAAACTACTTCCGGTGCTGCTGAAGTCCTAAACAATTACCGTTTGTTGAATATTTACCCTTTTCATTTTAAATTGAGCTCCTTGTGCAATATTTCAACGCACATACAAACATATAACTTAACTCGTTAAATATGTGGGAAATATTGTTTATTACTGACTTGGAAAACTCATTTAGAACTGTCGTCACGACACCCGGCTAGCTAGCTAGCTAACGGCACAGCGAACAACAAAGCTACCGTGAAGTCAGACCATATTTCTGCAGTTTCAGGCGGTCCTGCRTGTCTGGACTCCGACTTGACGCTGAAGCCCTCGGCTCACATTAGGATATCTTATTAAAGAGCTGTGGTGCCGACAATACMTTTTATTACGTGACATCTGATCGATTCAGAAACCGTTTTGAATTTTGGCGCAGTGGGTGCAGCTTTCTGGCACTTTGGTCACGTGGTAAAAATGGTCCAATAAGATCGAGAACAGACAAGAGGTCCTTTAGGTGGCGGTAGCGCGCCTGCTTGAAAACAAAACGAAAGAAGAAGAAGAAGCTAAAAACAAAAACCGGGAACAACAAAATGTTAGTGTATGCTGTATGAATGGAATAATACACTTTTGTTTTTTTGAGAGTTGTTTTGAATGTTCGGGATGTATTACTCAAAGAACAACAGCAATAATGTAAGTATTAAATCATGCGAGCGTCTAGACGTGGAACCATTAAAATGTATACTGCTTGGTTCGATCCCATAGAAAGTTAGATACTCATTTTTTTAAACACACTAGCTGATTTCTACATGCTTATTTTCCACCAGATGTTCGGGAGATACTGAAATTAATGCCCCGTAAAGTTGCAAAAACAGAAAAGCCTGCCCTGCTATTCCTGGAGCGGCCAGTGCGTGGCGCCAGACTCCAAAATGTGCCTGCTGTTCGAGCTGCCATRAATCCTAAAGAGTTTTTCACAGAGACACAAATACACCACGGATCAACTCTTAATTCCTGGGTATGTTGTTTATTTCTTCAGAAGACGTTCAAAGATGCAGTAGGGTACCCTATGTGATGAAATAAATGACATTGTATGTCTCTGTTTAAGTCTTTATGCGTGTTACTAGTTTTGTTTTTGGTCCAGTTTGACCAGTGCTCTCTAATTGTGCTTTTTGTTGTTGCAGGTAAGCCCCCAGTTTGAGTCTCTGGCTTTAGCTGCACCTCCAGTCAGACGAGGGAGGAGAAAATGCCAGTCCGCCACAAGTGTCCTTGACAGATGCAGTCAGGCGTCCAGAAAAAACGGCGCCTGCAAGTTCCCCCCACTTTCATTTCAAACTGGAACGAGAGACGAATCTCACAAGTCGAGGAGTACGAGCGCAAAGAGTGAAGAGTGCACCGCGTTGCCTAAAGCTGGAAATCAACCTTTGGGATCACGCCAAAGCAAAAAGACGGTCTTAAGTGGCCAACGCTCGGAGGCCTCAAAGAGACAGTTGTTCACAAAAAGAAATGCCGAAGTCATTTCAGAGTGTGCCGCATCTCTTGTCAAGTGTGTGSATCGATGTGGAGCACAATCGCCAGAACTTGGATGCCGAGTTCCAGCAGAAGGAGCTTCGACACCCGGCACCACTGAGGTCAACGGTGTCAGCCCACCGCCTGATGTGGACACACCAGGTATAATGCAGGGAGCCAGTTATCTCCCCTCTCCCGCTGCACATTTTCTACTGGCCCAGCCATGTACACCACCATGTAACAGGCCTCATATTCTGGTGGATGACACGCCGGAGAGAGATTATGGATTGAAAGCGACATGGAGGAGGAGAAAGGATTTAATGTTGATGTTAAAGGACAGGGGACACCTTTCAGAGTCAGATGCACAAATTAAAAGCTGATCTTTCTCTTTTTTTTATTACCAAACAGTTTTTTTGTTTTTTTTGTTTCTGTACCGTCGCTGCTCTAAACCTCATCAACTTACTTTGGACATTACTGGTGTTTATCATGACAATAATTAAAACATGAACATGGATTGTATTTTAATGTCTATAACACATTTGTKTTGTAATTATGCATTTATTAGCATGATTGTCGGTTATTTGAGAAGCATTTGGGTGTAGGGCTGCCACAAACGATTATTTTTATAATCGATTAATCACCGATTATTTWTTCGATTAGTCGACTAATCGGATCATACGTTAATTGAATATAAAACAWACAGCTTATCACGTCAGAATGCAGCTGCTATTATATAACCATGGTTAGATTTTAGCTATATGCTAACTAAAAARAATTGCTGTGGAAGYCAAGTTCTGCRRTGCAGATATTACACAGGTTTCTCTTTCATTTTCTTAAAATGATCCCACACTTTTGAGCTCCGTTGTCAGGTAGCCATGATACCAGAGCCTGTCTGTATAATTGTGACGTCCACAGCCTACCCCAGTTACCACTACTGTGCATGTGTGTCAAGGACAGAAAGGCAGATGTGGCAGTGGAAGGTGTCAAAACAGTTTGGAGAGAATAACAAAGTAAAGAACAAAAAAAAAGATTGATTATTAAATTAGTCATTGATTATTTTAATAATCAGTTAGTCGTCGATTAATCGACTAATCGTGGCAGCCCTATTTGGGTGGACCTTATAACTCAAATGTTTTATCCATTAACTGCTGTGGTTTAGACATGAATTAAGTATGTACAAGTGGGGACAAAATATGGCTATGTTAATAGATGAGAAGGTTATTATACTGTAGATAAATAAAATATTGCAGTTTATCTGAACAGAATCGTGTAAAGCTTTATTAGTTTACTTAAACTGCCACTTTAAAATATATATAAAATGACATAATACCGTCGTTTTTGCAACTTCGTGACGCGTTTTTATCAAATATTTCACAATAAAATCAATATCAATCAAGTTCCAGGCTCCGCCTTTCGCCAGGATATCCTCCAATCAAATTCGACCCGAGGAACCAGCTGACCAATCACAACTCTCGTTCTTGGTGCGCGTGGTAACCAAGGGCAGAGGACCGGAGCTCTGCTCGAGCGCGTCCACAAAAAAAAGTGCTGTGTGCCTCGGGAGAGGTTTCTCCTTAGCAACCGCGGATAAACATGAGTTACTACAGCATAAGGTGAGAATTTAAAATGCTGCTTGTTCGCCGTGCTTCGTTTTCATTACGTTATAAGAAGCTGACCCGGCGTAGTTACCATTATTAAAAAAAAAAAAAAACTTCACTTTGTCACCCACAACTTTTATAAAGACAGCATCGCCTTCGGTGGAGACTGGGCTGAGACCGCTAGCATGGTTAGCTCGCAGCGGTTGTCGAGCTCCAACAACACCGCACAAAATGACCGACAGCGTTTAAATTCGCTTGTTTTTGAGGATTTGTATGAGTGGTGAGCTTACCGACTGAGTAACAAGTCGGATTATTGCGTCGATAAATCGAGTCGAAACGAGAAAAAAAAAACATGGAGGAAAAATAGCGGTTGTGTTTTAGCCTTGATTATTTCATGTTTTTCGGACATATTTGAAGAAAAAAAAACTGAAGACAAACACACTATATTCGTAGTTCCTTTTAACAAATTTGTATTTTGACGTTTTTTTAATCCAACTGCACATTGTCACTTTGCTGCATCCTGTTGAASAGCATCCTCAAAGCTAAAACTTGTYTGGAGACAACAAAAAGAAGTGGCTAAAGGCAGGAGGGGGGAAGCCCTGACATGTCTGAGCATGCTGCAATTCTGCCTCAAACATTAAAACATCAACCATGCAAGTCTGTAAATCAGTGAGCTGAAAACATGTATTTTTCTGCAGACATGTTCTCATAAAACTGATCTTAGCTTAATCCACAAAAAGGCCATTAAACAAGGCAGTGGTATAAACACAACACATGCAGATATAAACATTGAAGCCAAGATCTGGTTTAAATTTCCAGGCTGATAAASATCAAAGTAACCTCCATCATTTCCTGTTGCAGTACCAGTCAGATGATTTGATTATTTTGGGGAGGGCTACCGCCAAAGATAAGGGTCTGCAATCTGTGCCTCTCAGTCCATATGTGACTCTTTAGCTATTTTTTTTTTGTTTGTTTGTTGTTACAA